AGTCCACATTGGCAATAAATGAAGAACTGTCTTCTGGGACTGGGTTTCTAAGAGCTTTTATACAACTAGGGTATGGAATTACACGTATTTCACTGCACAGAAAAGGGAGCCAAGAATTAAGAAAGGAGCCAGCTCAAGGTCATGATATCTAAGAATCTATTTCATAGTCCAGACAGCAACCCCAACTCTCCAACCCTCCATTACAATGAAATCCTTCCAACAAATTTTAGGAAGTTTTGAAAGACATTCTTTGACCTAGTCACTAGATGGGCTACACACAGCTGAGCTCCACTTAATTGCATAATGAATGAATCAACTACTTTAAATCACTTCGTAAAATCCCATCGACTATCACATTTCCTTCCTTGGTACCAATACCTGTTAAATGCAATCTCATAGAGAAATAATTCACTTCATTGTATTAAGAAATGCCCAACTGTAGTCCTTTAAGTGTTGCAGTTCTCAATTATCTTACCCAAATCCACTGTGAAGTGATAATTAGGGGCTAAAAGCTAAACTGATTGCTGCAGAATTTTCTCCTGACAGCCATTTAATAGCTAATCAGGTGTTAAATCCCCAAATTATGCATTTCTCAGCAGCACACAGATCACAATAAATTTTAAAAGTTTGAAGTTACCAACTTGTCTTTCACAACTTTGCCCCAACACACCTAAAGTAAAGGAATTACCAATGCAGAAGATAAGAAATCCTTGACAGTGTATTTTGTTTTTCCATGTATAATGTTTGTTTTGATTAATGATAATTTTTAAATCCAAATTCTCACCATTGCAACTTATCATAAGACCTGCCTTTGCCCAGTGAAAAATACCAGGTCTTACTAGTATCAACAGGTTAGCATTTCCTGGTTTGCATATATGTGAAGCCTACATCCAAATCAGTAGAAGTCATGGAGCTAGTAAGTGTGTTAATGATATGTAGGACCATCATATATGATTTGAAGCAGCCTGAGTTTGCACAGCTGTATGACCCACGCTCTTGCAACAGGGGTGTAAATTGTCTGCTATCCTAATGCTGCGCTGTTACATCTCTGGCCAGAGCTCTGCATTTCACTCTGACAAGACCACTCATGCCACATTCAATCCACAGTCACATCCCAGCATCTATCAGAGAAAGGGAAAGAGCATCCATAGCCACATAGTGATTAATGGACCATCACACACACCTTTATAGATGGATCCTAAGGTACTGTAGCCTTCTATCCCTACACCAATAAAATGGATGGGGGGGTCAATTAATAGGAAAGTAGTTTATTTAGATCAATCAGAGAATTTATAAAATAAATTTTCATTGTTTTAAGCAATTCTACAATAAATATAAGTAATATATAAAGGCTACCTTTGATGATTCTTTACATATTGCATTAAAGCCAGCAGAGTGAAAGTAACATATGACATATTTTACTTAGTTTTCAGCCAAGGGAGATTTTGATCCCAGGAGAACATTTGGCAATATTACATTTTGGTTGTCAAACTCTAGGGAAGATGCTACTGGCATCTAGTGACTAGAGGCCAGGGATTCCACTAAACATCCTACAGGGCACAGGACAGCCCATCACCAACAAAGAAATATTTGTCCTGTAATGCCAGTAGTGCCAATGTTGAGAAACCCTGCCCTAGGTTCTAGATCCTCTTAGTTTTGACATCCTCCTACATGTGGATTCTCCAAGGCTGTGTGGACAGGTATGGTGGAACACAGGGGCAATGTGCTGTACCTCTTATTTTCAGGTTCCATTCTGCTCCCCATCTTTTAAAAGAATATATAATTCTATCTAGCTCCATCATCTTTTGGTCCTATATTTTTCTGTGCTTTATTTATTTACCAAATGCCTCATCACTGTTTGGTACATTGCTAGTTTAATTATATATTTACATACACATTTAACAATTAATGTTCAAGGAGCCTATTATTCACTATGTATGGTCCCTGACTTTATGAATCTTAGACATTAGTGGTCAATGACAGGAAAGATGTGATAAAGATAAAAGTTAAGAAAACAGATGTTTGGAGAAAGATCACAGCATGAGAGGAGGACAGATGCTTTCTCTTAAAATTAAAACCACATATAATATGAAAATATAATTAATACATCTAATCCTGAAAGAACAGCAGGAAAGAAGGATCCTCCAGATGGCATACGCCTGGAGAAAAGAACAGAACTCATAGAACAGGGTAACGTACCAAAGCCATGATCCAGCAAAACCCAAGCCCTTCCCGAACCCCAGCTCACTGATGGGAAGGAGAGAAACGAAGTGGGGAGGGAGTGGAGGCCTGGGACTGCTGAACACCTAGCTCTAGAGATCTGCTCTGGGAGCACAAACCTACATTGTATGGTGCTCTGTTGATTACAGGGGTTGGAAAGCTAAGACAGGAAGAATACCTGGAGAGACTGAACTTCCAACTGCTTGTGGAAAACAGGGATCCATAACTGGCTGCTCTGGGACAAAAGAAAGGCAGGCAGTCTAAAAGACATCCTAAGAGCAAGAGGGCTGCTAAAGAGGCAAGGATTCCACAGAGCTTACTGCTCAGGAGAAATGACAAGTAGACAAAATTATCCAGGTGCACTCTGCCCAGCCAGTTGGGAGCTTTCACGATCTTCAGGCACTCCAGCCCCCTAGCTGGCTACACAGCTCCAAGACCTCCCACAGTGATACACAGTCTGCTGCACCTTCCAACTAGCCTACACCTGGCTTGCAAATGAGCAAACCCTGCCTTGGCATCAGGCCAGCCAGAGGGAAGCCCCAATCTTATTTGTAGTTTCAATTATGTTATCTTGGAGATATCTATTTTAGAAGATATATCTATCTCATTTTGTTTAATGACCACCTATTATTCCATAGTATGGATGTTACATAATTTATTTAAATAAATCCCACATTGATGGACATTTAGGTTATTTTCAGATTTTTGTTGCAATAAAAATCCATGTAAAAACATTCATAGGATAATAAATTCCTGATAGTGGAGTTGATAGGCCAAAGGGTGTGTGTATGTATATGTGCATATGTATGTGTGTGTGTGTGTGTGTGTGTGATTTTAATTGAAAATTTTAGTTTTAATTGATAATTGATATTAACCTTTTAAAATCATGCCAACTTTTAACCCCACTAATAGAATACTTATTTTTCCAGATTACATTGGATATTATTAGCCTTTTAATAGTAGTAAAATGATAGAAGAAAATATTTTAATTTGCATGTTTTAAATTATTAGGAAGCTATTTTATATCTCTTTATGTATTTATTAGCCTGTATATACTTAGATTAATAATTACATTTCAGAAAATTTGGCTGGCATATAAAGTTCTATAAGGTAAATCTCTTTTCTATTGACTTCCTTTATAAATTTCCACTGGAAAAAAATTACATGGTTGTCATATTTCAGTCATTTCAGATAATGGGTTTATAAAGATGACTAGTCCTCTATTAAACTGGTAATATTTTTACATTTGCCAGTATATTTGCTAACCTTAAACATTTCTAATGTAAATTTTTTCCTGCTCCAAGAAATCTTTTCTACTCTCAGTTGTCTTCCATTCATAGACTATAGGAATTTTTCTCATTCCTATGGATACCTAGATTTATCATTACAGCTTATACATTTTGGTTTCTAAGAAGCTGAAATATAATTGTATTTAACATATTTAAGTGAAAAATAGTTCATCTCTTTAGTATGTCAGGATGGCATATAATAAATACATCAGGATTCCCTATTATTTTTCAGTGTAAATGTGTAAATTTTCAATTTTCACTCATCCTTTTTATTTATTTATTTATTTATTTTTATTTATCATTAATCTACATATCCATCCTTTTTATTTGAACAAATGAATGGAATAGAAGTACAATATCAAAACTTATCTTAAAACATTGTGAAAAAAAAACATTGTGCTTCTTCACCTTTGGTGTAATAATATGTGGTTTAAATCATGACTTGCCTTTTATATAGTGACATATAGAATACATAACATGAAAGCCTATGAAGGGAATGTTATCTTTGTTCCCTAATGTTGATATAATAAAAGTGATCTAGTGTGACTCACTTGTAACTTTTTATGCATGTTGCAATTTTCACATTCTGGTCTTTTTGTATGTTAAAGTTTTATTTCGGTTTTCTAGGCGCTTCTTTGTTCATACTTTTTGAAGCTAATTTTTTAATGAAATGTTATCTAAAAATAACCCTGATAATATAAAATCCATGACAAACATTTTAATATATATTGCATTAAATATAATCTATGATTTGTATGATAATTCAACCATTTACCTGTAAAATCGAAATATGGCCATATAAACTGGAAAAATTGAAAATGGTATGTTTTATTTGGATTTGCTCCAAAAGTACTATAGAAGAAGTAGAGTTTTAGTGAGTGTCTTATACCATGAAAAAAATCAGTAAAGAAAATATGTAACATCTGTTAGGTCTATTCTGGACTAAATTTTTATAACAGATGGTTAAGATTGTTTCTGCTTCTCTTCCAAATATTTGTGTTTATAAAGTACGTACTTAGCTTTGCTCCTACTCTTGGGACCACCATAGATAGATAGATATAGATATAAGATAGGTAGAAAGATAGATAGATAGAGATGTAGACTTGGCTTTGGGCAATTAGAAAAGGGGCACTCTTTGGCTAGACCGCCCCACACACTCTGGGCACTTTTGAATAGCATAAAAACCATACAACTGACAATCCACTCTAATTCTTGTGTTAATAAATATACTTTATTTTTTAGACATTATAAAACAGACAGAACAGAGACACAGTAGTATACTAAGGTTTTAATACTATTGCCTTCTTTTTCTTAGATTAATTTGTTTACAATTTGGGCTAGAGGGAAAGTGTTTTTGTTTTTTTATTTTTTAAGATTGTTGGAATTTTCTTGGATTATAATGTAATAAATACTCATACAAAATTCTAATATCTGTTAATGAGAAATTATTTGATGTTGCATTTATTTTTAATATATTTTTTGTTTATTAAGAATGCTACACTGCAAGCAGAGAAGCAAGCATTGAAAACTCAACTGAAACAACTTGAGACCCAGAACAATAATTTGCAGGCTCAGATTCTTGCACTTCAGAGGCAGACAGTGTCATTACAGGAGCAGAATACTACTCTTCAAACACAGAATGCCAAGCTTCAGGTTGTAATGTAATATTTGGGGGATAAGTAACCAAACTCTGAATTATACTAATAAAATAAGGATGTCTAGACATGGTAACACTGTTTCTTAGTGAGTGAATTTAACAATTAATTGAAAATAAAGTAAAATATTTATTTTTTTTGTACAACTGGCATACAGTATTGTATTGGTTTTAGGTGTACAATATAGTGATTGGAAAGTTATATACATTATGAAATGCTTACCATAATAAAGTGTAGTTAACCATTTGTCATCATACAAAGTTATTACATGCTGTATTCCCTATGCTGTACTTTTCATCCCCATGACTTATTTATTCTATTTAGTGCTATCCTAAACTTTCAGATCAGCATTTTTAAGATGTCAGAACCTCTAAATTAATAAATTTACTCAATCATTTCATGGCCTTTTATATCATTTCGGGAAGTTGATGATAATTAGGTAGAAACCCTTGCTTTAGAGTATGGTTGCATCATACTGTTTCTTATTTCATTTTTATAGCTTTCTTATCAATTAGTGAAAAACAACACAGCATGAGAATTTTGGTCTTCAGACTTGTCCTTAGTTCAAAAGATCCATCTTGTACTTAGTACTACCATTGTGTTTTCAAATAGAATAATCAGGTGGGAGAAAGACGACTCTGTGAAACCTCTTACAGAGCAGAAGAAAAGAAATTCCCTCTCTGAATCTAAAAGTTCTGTAACTCTCCTCCAAATGGAATACAAATAGTAATTTAGTTCAGACTCAGGAAAATTTCCAGTTGAATTTTCACAAGTATTTTTCAGTTCTGTCAACTCTTAACTTCTTTAAAATGACAAACTAGCATTTCAAATTCTGTACTTTTTCATTGGTGGAATGCAGATTGTTGCTAATCACTGCTATTTAAAATAATTCAACCTAAAATATGCGTCTCATACATTTATCTCATATATATCATAACACCTACAGAAATCAAAGTCAAATGGTAGCCTTGTTCTTTGGGATGCTAAAGTACAAATTTTCTCAGTATAATATAAATATATCTGCTATGATTATTTAGAGCTTCCTGAAGTTATCTTTTATTTTAAAAAAAGAACAACATAAGCTATCTTTCTTATGTCTGATAACAATTCTGCATTCTTACAGGTTGAAAATTCCACCCTTAATTCCCAAAGAACCACCCTTATGAACCAGAACGCACAACTCCTAATCCAACAATCTTCCTTAGAAAATGAAAATGAATCTGTAATTAAAGAGCGAGAAGACCTGAAATCTCTCTATGACTCTCTGATCAAAGATCAGGAAAAGCTGGAACTTCTTCACGAACGTCAGGCTTCAGAGTATGAGTCTCTCATCACTAAACATGGAACTCTAAAGTGTGCCCACAAAAATCTTGAGGTAGAACATAAAGACCTTGAAGACCGGTAATTTTTTGTCTTTTCTTCTGTTGTTAATTTAAAACCATTTTCTTTAAGTAATGTAATAATTTTTTTGCATTAAACAGGACTAAGAGATACCTTATGTAGGAAACTTATTTACATGTTCTTTATGGTCCTTATTAATAAACAACTCCTGTATCCCTCATTTCTAAAAATTTTTTTTTCCTAAGGATATATTATAAGCCAAATACCTTACTTTTTTTTTCCAGTTACAATCAGTTACTAAAACAGAAAGGACAATTGGAAGATTTGGAAAAAACACTGAAAGTAGAACAGGAAAAAATGCTGCTTGAAAACAAAAACCATGAGACTGTAGCCACAGAATACAAGAAACTTTGTGGTGAAAATGATAGGTAATAAATATTTATTTATTTTATTGCATCCAAAGTGTAACTGTCCCTTTGTAGTGCTATCTATAACTTAGAATTTTAAAGAAAGACTTCAGAACAATAGGTAAATTACCCAATAAAATCATGCAGTTAGTTATAGAATGGCTCTGGCAAAAACCTGATCTCCTGTTGATGCTCATTGTTTCTCTTTAGTCACTAAGTTTTTAAACCACACTATATAACAAAATTTCTGTATCTTGATAGCGTTTATATCCTTTATGGAAATAGAATATAATGAAATCTGATTCTTGATGTTTTTCTTTTTTATAGTCTGGTATCCAGTTTTTGTCTTTTGACGTTGCTACAAGTGACCAACTTTATAATTTCCTAGCTGACTGATACATATTTTTTTTAACTACAGTTTTTTATTAAGGTATTATTGATACACACTCTTATGAAGGTCTCACATGAAAAAACAATGTGGTTACTACATTCACCCATATTATCATGTCCCCCCCCATACCCCACTGCAGTCACTGCCCATCAGTATAGTAAGATGCCACAGAGTCACTGTTTGCCTTCTCTGAGCTACACTGCCTTCCCCATGATCCCCCCAACACCATGAGTGCCATTGATTTGTATTTTTATTTTTAAGTGCCTTAGGTATTATTGGTTTAATATTGCCATGGGACAATTATTTTTAATTTGAAGCCTTTGGAAAATCAAAACTTGTTGCCAGCTGGTATTTCACTTATTTCATAAGGTCACATGTTTAAAAGTTCTAACAGCATAAACATGTGCACTGCACTTACACTGCCATAGCTAAAGTGCTGGGAAAGAGCACACAAAATTCAAATAGGGCTCATTCATTGAGTATTTGTCCAATTATGAATTTAATACAGTCCAATTTTAGAATTAAACTTGTATTTCATTTCCTTTATTTAAAAAAATCCCTAAGCCTCAACAGCCATTTTCATTTCATGTTCAGTAGTTTTTAAGTTAGTAATTATTTCAACTACAAATTCTGTATGGTGGATTTGAACTTCAACAAGCTCAACACCAAGCTAGAATCAAGAAGAATGTATTTATTTAGTATATGCAGTAGAAGACCATATTGTGACAAGTTATGGAATATAAGCACTAAGGGAAGCAGAGGCTTTAAATAAAACCCAAAAGCTCATTTTCACCAAAAAAAAAAGATAGTTTTAAAGACTTATCTGGAGAACAATAGTTTCTCCATTCTTCTAAATAGCCCAAGTTTTAATCTTAGATAATGCCAAACCAAGTGTTTCTTACATAGACAAGATTTTCTTGACTTGTTTAGAATTGTGTTAACTGAATTACATTTTGGTGTTAATATTCTCAGCTTTCCAGGACAGTTCTTTAATTCTTTGAAAGAACTGATTTTAGCATTTGCCATAGAGATGATACTGAGGACATTCTATATTATATCTCTTCATATCCCACCTCCCATGAAGCATCAGTAGGAAAATCTTTGATCTCCATATAATATATCATGTAGCTGTCTGTATGTCTCAGGTTGACAAGCCATTATAACTCATGGCATGTATTCATTTATGGATTTAGCTTATTAAGTTTTATTGAATGTTTCTGGTCTTGAAATTTTTTTACAAAGTCTTGGTTTTTTTAAATGTATATTTTTATTATTTATAATTCTTGTAAGCTGACTCAAATTCTTTGGAGAATTTGTTGAAGTAAATTATTAGGTGTTCTGAACAAGTACCATACTGAGCTAAAGTTTGTTTCATTTAGCTACCTGCTCCTTTTGTGGGTTCCTGATCTTAACACTGTAATATAAAGTTTGGTAAACTACAGCCAAATCCAGCCTACAGCTCCCATACTAAGAACATTTTTTACATTTTAAAAGGTTGTGGGGAAAACAAAAAAGAGGAGCATGCTATAGATTGCATATGGTCCACAAAGCCTAAGGTATTTACTCATCTTTCACAGGTAGAATTTGCTGATCTCTCCTGTTAGAGATCAATGGACTTTGCTCTCAAGGTATAATTGTGGAAAGAAACAGAAAAAGCTATAGTTTGATTTTTACAAAAAAATCAAAAATTTATCACTTATAATTGGGGACTGCATAAATATGAATAACTGCCACAAGTACAGAGATCTCAGTAACTAAAATTTTGATTTAAGCCTGTGTATCTCAGTTATCTGGCAACAGATTGTTAAATATCAATTCTTTTGATCTGTTCTTTCTTGAATTTTCATGTTGAATTTTAAAATCTTTGAATTCTCTATGAAATCAGAACTAGTTTGGTTATTTTCTCTTTTAACTTTTTTTTTTTTTTGAGAGGGCATCTCTCATTTATTGATCAAATGGTTGTTAACAACAATAAAATTCAGTATAGGGGGGTCAATGCTCAATGTACAATCATTAATCCATCTCAAGTCTAATTCTCGTCAGTCTCCAATCTTCTGAAGCATAACAAACAAGTTCTTACATGGTGAACGAATTCTTACATAGTGAATAAATTCTTACATGGTGAACAGTACAAGGGCATTCATCACAGAAACTTTCGGTTTTGATCACGCATTATGACCTATAAACAATCAGGTCAAATATGAATATTCGTTTGATTTTTGTACTTGATTTATATGTTGATCCCACATTTCTCCCTTTATTATTATTATTATTTTTATTTTTAATAAAATGCTGAAGTGGTAGGTAGATGCAAGATAAAGGTAGAAAACATAGTTTAGTGCTGTAAGAGGGCAAATGTAGATGATCAGATGATCAGGTGTGTGCCTATGGACTAAGTATTAATCCAGGCTAGACAAGGGCAGCAAAACATCCACGGATGCAGAAGATTTCTCTCAAAGCAGGGGGGGTGAGGTTCTGAGCCTCACCTCTGTTGATCACCAAATTCTCACCTGATGGCCCCCCTGCGACTGTGCCTGTCTTAGGTTGTTCCTCCCTTGAGGAATCTTACCCGTCTCTGGCTAACCAGTCATCTTCCGGGGCCATACAGGGAAATGTAAAGTTGGTAAGTGAGAGAGAAGCCATATTGTTTGAAAAGGTTAGCTTTTTACTTCTTTGCAGATTTATGCCCTGTGGCTTCTATGCCCAGCACTTGTCTTGAGGTATCTTTACCACCTGGAGAAATTATGATACTCGGTAAATTCGATATGAGGCACGAATTCTATTTAAGGGTTGTAATTAGGAAGAAAGAAGAAAAGCTACAGATGTAGCATATGGAAGGAAACATGGGAGGATTGATTATTTCTTTGACATATCTTCTTGTAGAGTACCTTAAGTATGTATAGGTTTTAAACTACTAACTAATTTGCACACACATATTAACATAATAGGAATACGGTGACATAAACAAAGCAAATCTATAATTACCATCCATCTCCAGTGAAGCCAAGAAAACCATTTAGGCACCCTAGGCATTTGTGAAAATTTGTCTATGATATGATGGATATTGTTCAACTGTACTTGAACAGTCTGAGAGAAATCAGACAAATTAAAGCAGCCCATTTCTGGGATCTGTTCACATCCCATATGTTCTTTTAACCGTAGATAGTCTATAGTCATAAGATTTTGGAGTGCTACACCTTGCACCCCTCCCAACTCCTGGTTGAGTTCCAACAGTACAGATCCGGTCAAATTCGTTGTCTCACTGTATGCACATGCCAGCCTAGACATCTCCCTCCTCATTCCTATGGCAAGTCCAGGAGACGGTGGGCTGGATGCAGCCACAACCGCAGCATCGTCCGGATCCCTGTGGAGGCTTTTTGATGATCATCCCCCGGCACAAGTCCTCCAGAGAGTGCTGATGCTGGAAGCTCCTCCTCATATCTCTTTTAACTTTTAAATATTTGTTTTACTAATTTAAATTTTATAGGATAAAATTACAAGACTCTTTACCTCTTAACTATATTTAAATGCTGAAGGATTTCCTTTCAAGGGAAAAGTACTCAATTTCTTTAAATCTAGCTTTACAGAATAGAAACTGATTCTTGATGAATTTTGTGACTGGCAAAAGAATGTTTTATTTTCCTTGAGTATGTCTGAGTATGATTTGCAGCATTTTTCACATTGTGTAAATGACAATGAAAGCTATTAAGAGAATCTAATTCTATCACAATTTCTAATTATAGGTTGACCCATACATATAATCAGCTTTTAAAAGAGACTGAAGCTTTACAAACTGACCATAAAAATTTAAAAAGTCTTCTAAATAATTCCAAACTGGAACAAACAAGATTAGAAGCTGAATTTTCCCAATTAAAGGAGCAGTACCAACAGTTGGACATCACATCCACCAAGCTAAATAACCAGTGTGAGGTGAGCATTAATAATTTTAATCACTGTTTCCTTCCTTTGGGCATCAAGACATTCCTAAAAAGTAAGCAGTCATATTATAATAATAGCAGTATATATTTAGAGGGGTATATCTAAAATAATTGGTCATAGATTATTTAAATTTAGAAAAACTCTATTATTAATTTCAACATTTTTTACTATTTAATTTTATTTGTCCAGATACTTTGAAAATTGTGAAATCATGTATATTTAATAAAAAACACTGTACTAATAAACCAAAGAGGTAAAAATCTCTCCCCTTCTGGAGCTTATATTAATTATGGTAGAAGGAAACAGACGATAAACATAGTAAGTGAAATATGTAGTCTTTCAGTGTTCTGTTACATATGGCTATGTAGCAAGTCATCCCAAAACTTGGTGGTATAAAGCAGCCCTCTGTTCTGCTCACAGATTCTGTGAGGACACTTGGAAAGGGACAGTAGGGCTGATTTGTCTCCGCTCTACTTAGAGCTGGGCCCTAAGCTGGGGGATTGAAAGGCTGAGTGCATATTTGGTGGTTGGAGGCATCAGTTTCCTCTCCACATGGTGTCTCCCATGGGTTCTTTTGGACTTTCTCTCAACATGGTGAGAACCAGACACGCTATTTCTACTTTAACAATCAGGCCTCAGAAGTCATGCATCATTTCCTCTGCATTCTATTCACTGAGGCAATCAAAGTCCCATTTAGGTTCAAGAGGAAGAAGAATGAACTCAGCCTCTTTTTGGAGAATGGTAAGATTCTGGAAGAGCACTTGGCCTGGAAACATTGCTGTAACCATTTTGAAAATTAGTCTGCATCATATGGTATGTTACCAGATAATACATTATATGCAAATAAAAGTGAAATAGGGTAAAGGAGGATGCCTGCCAGATGAGTGAGGGCGTATAGTTTGACATTATAATTAGGTATCATTATGTAAAGATTTGAAGAAGGTTAGGGTAAAATTATGTAGCACTCTGGGGAAAGGACTTTCCAGGCAAACAGCTAATGCATGACCCTAAGGCCAGGGGAATCCTGGTGTGTTTGAGGAAGCCAGTTTGGCTGGAGTGGAATGACAAAGAAGGAAGTAGTAGTAGTAGGTGAGATCAGAGATGAGCCTAGGCCTTATATGTTGCCTTATAGGCCATTGTAAAAACTTTGACTATTCTGAGTGAAAAAAGGGAGTCATCGGACAGTTTTGAACAGAAATGACATCTGCCTTACATAATACAATTTTATTCTTCACATAATTCCATTTTTATCCCTATGATAACTTGATAAAGCGATTGAAGTTTTGAAATATAAAAAGGATACCAACAACCTTGGATAACTTAAGTTTCATGGTCGGGCCCTAAATCATTAAAGTTTGAATATAGCTTAACACTTGAATTTCATGGAAGTCTTAGAAAACTAGCACTTAAACAAACCCTTAAATGGAATTAGAGAATAGACTGTATTAGAAAAGTAATACTTAAAAGCTTTTTGTCTGAAATTAAAAACCAATAGAAAGAAAAATGAGTTTGAAATTTTATACATTTAATTACCCAACAAAGCTCAGAAAGTATACAACATTCATTCTGTCTGTGACTTAAAAAAGTCTAAATAAAATATAACTAGAGGAATGAATATACAGAATGATAGAGTGAGGAAAATGATGAATCAACTCCCCAAGAAACAATTAAATTAGACAGAACTTAAAAACAAGCAATTTTAGGACTCTGGAACTTAAGCAGAAGCATACAACAAGTCGAGAAGCATTTATTAAAGAAAAATTACTGAACTGCATGTAGGAGCTATGATTATCTGAGGCATTTTATATTGTTACTTCACCCATTCTTTTCTCCTCTCCTTTCCTCAGTGTCAACACCTCATAGTTAAGGTGAGGGGCAAGCCATGAAAACCAGCAGCTTTACTTCTGGAGGGAACTGATTTGACTTGAGCAGAGCACAGAAAAGTCCCATGCCCACAATAATTGTCAAAGGCCAACTCTCAGATAGCCTGAGATTGGAATATTGGTTGGGGCAAGTAGTAGACCAGCAAACTTAGAAGCTTAACTGGGGAGATCCATTATAATGGGTCTTGATGAGGTCCCACATGTCACTGGTGGTTGGAGGGTATTCAGGAGATATCAGGAAGGGCCCTAGTTACCTACGTAGACCTGGCTGCCCTAACTCGAGTCAAGTGTTAACCCTTGGATACGGGCTAAGTCATATAATAACATGATTTGGAGGGAGTGGAAAGATGAATCCATAGTATAAGAGGATAGTAATCTTTGTGAGAAGGGATGGTGAGGGGAGGAGTGCGAGTATTTCTGGAGTACAATTTATGTACTGTTTCTTAATCTGGGTGCTGATTACACACATGTTCACTTTGTGATTAATTCATTGTGCTGCATATGCACTCAGAATTTGTTCTTTTTGTATATATGTTTTATCAGTTGTCTATTGACACAATATTTAATGCTATATAACAACCATAGGGACCTCAGTGGTGATGGAATCCAAGTTGGCTGAGCAGATGTGCTGATCTATGCATTCATGTATGCACCAAGACCAGTTTATCTTTGTAGGGCTTGTTCCCATCTGCAGTTAGCTGGCACATACCTTGAGGACTGGTTGGTCTAGGGTGACCCCAGGTAGTATAACTCTTCTCTGTGCTATGTAGTCTCATCCTCTAGCAGAATTCCAAAAGACTGAGTGGAAGCACATAAGACCTCTTGAGGCCTAGACTTGGAACTGTCATGCCATCACTTCCACCTCTTTCTCTTGACCCAAGGCATTCCAAGTTCAAGAGGGGAAGTAGATTCCATTTCTTGATGGGAAAAGTGAGAAGTCACAGTACAAGAGAGTGTAGGTATAGGGAGGAAGATAAATGCATTCAATTTTGTAATGAATGTACCTCATATATTTCAACTTAACAATATGTAGGTAAAACAAATATAGCACGATATTGACAGCTGTTGGATCTAGATGGTTATTTATGGATATTCATAGTATTACACTATCTGCTTTTCTGTACCTTCTGAGAATTTTCAAAATTTTTTCCTTTTCTTTGGAAGAGAGGTTCTTGTTGCCTTTTTTTCTTTTTTGATACATATCTCTAGGCTCTACTCCAGACCTGCTGAATTCAATGTTAGGATCCAAAAGTCTTCATTGGTTAATATACTCTGTATTACAAGTGATACAAATTTTAAGAATCAGTACTTTGGGCTTTCTGGCTTCTTCTGGACCCTCTTGCCTAACTAAGGCATATTCCTAATTTCTATTAGCTACAGAGAAAAAGCAGTCTAATGCTGCTGGCAGCCCAGCTGCCAATAATATCAGCCAGTAATAACATCCATTGACAGAAGTACCTAACTCTCTTGGTTCAAACTATAAAAACTATATATAAACTTTTAAGACTAGAAAACAGTGGTTGAGGGAAGAATGAGGTATATTAAGTACCTACTGTGTGCCATAAACATGATATCAGGTCCTTTCCATATGTTATTTAATCCTTCTAGCAGTCTTGGGAGGTGGGAATTATTATTTTTTTATTAAGGTATTATTGATATATACTCTTATGAAGGTTTCACATGAAAAAACAATGTGGTTGCTACATTCACACATATTATCGAGTACTCCCCAAACCCCATTGCAGTCCCTGGCCATCAGTGTAGTAAGATGCCACAGAGTCACTACTTGTCTCCTCTGTGCTACACTGTCTTCCCCGTGACCCCCCCACACCATGTGTACTAAACATAATACCCCTCAGTGCCCTTCTGCCTCCCTCCCTACCCACCCTCCCACACTCTCTCTCCCTTTTGGTAACCACTAGTCCCTTCTTGGAGTCTGTGACTTGGCTGCTGTTTTGTTCTTTCAGTTTTGCTTCATTGTTATACTCCATAAATGAGGGAAATCATTTGGCACTTGTCTTTCTCTGCCTGGCTTATTTCACTGAGCACAATATCCTCCAGCTCCATCCATGTCGTTGCAAATGGTAGGATTTGTTTCTTTCTTATGGCTGAATAGTATTCCATTGTGCATATTACCACCTCTTCTTCATCCATTCATCTACTGATGGACACTTAGGTTGCTTCCATATCCTGGCTATTGTAAGAAGTGCTGCAATAAACATAGAGGTGCATATGTCTTTCTGAATCTGAGAAGTTGTATTCTTTGGGTAAATTCTAAGGAGTGGAATTCTGGGGTCAAATGGTATTTCTATTTTTAGTTTTTTGAGGAACCTCCATATTGCTTTCCACAATGGTTGAACTAGCTTACATTTCCACAAGCAATGTAGGAGGGTTCCCCTTTCTCTGCATCCTCACCAGCATTTGTTGTTCTTAGTCTTTTCTATGCTGGCCATACTAACTGGTGTGCGGTGATATATCATGTGGTTTTAATTTGCATTTCTGTGATAGTGATGTGGAACATCTTTTCATGTGCCTGCTGACCATCTGAATTTCTTCTTTGGAGAATTGCTCACCCATTTTTTAATCAGGTTATTTGCCTTTTGGGTGTTGAGGCATGTGAGTACTTTATATATTTTGGATGTTAACCCCTTGTCAGATATGTTGTTTACAAATATATGCTCCCATAGTGTAGGATGCCTTTTTTGTTCTGTTGATGGTGTTCTTGGCAGTACAGAAGCTTTTTAGTTTGATGTAGTCCCATGTGTTCAATTTTGCTTTTGTTCCCCTTGCTTGAGGAGATGCATTCAGGAAAAACTTGTTCATGTTTATATTTGGGAAATTTTTGCCTATGTTGTCTTCTAAGAGTTTTATGACTTACATTCAGGTCTTTGATCCATTTCAAGTTTACTTTTGTGTATGGGGTTAAACAGTAATACAGTTTCAGTCTCTTGCATGTACCTGTCCAGTTTTGCCAACACCAGTTGTTGAACAGGCTGTCATTTCCCTGTTGTATGTCCATAGCTCCTTTACTGTACATTAATTGACCATATACGGTAGGATATATAACTGGGCTCTCTAGTCTGTTCCAATGGTCTATTGTTTTGTTCT